GCTGTTTCTCCGATCACAAATGCAGACATTGTTTTATGTTTACGCGGCGCGATGCAACGCAAGGCGTAAAAAGACAGTATAAGTCATTATAATCCGTAATTATGTCCCCACTGGATGCAACAAATGCCTCGTATATAATGGGTTTGAATGTTTTTGTCTCGTCGCTCCGGCCGGGACAGGGCATCATCACAATATGGTAGGGGTGTAACATTTGCGTCACACGCTTGAGGTATTCGGCCAATCACAATGCACTGGATAGCTGGCCAATCAGAGCACACCTCGCTTTTTCAGACCGATGAGCTTTGTAAAAATCGACGCGTTTCAGAAAGGCGGGGCATAGAGGAGAAACAATCATGTACAGTATGTGGAAAATAATGTGGTTTTTTAACCTTAAACCGCATAAACACATTGCATTACACCAAATACACAAAATAATGTTCTTTTTAGCAACATCATAGTACCCCTTTAAAACAGACAATATCAGTATTTTGCATGTGTCTTTTGGGACCAGGACCATACCGAGAACTTTGGTTACATGTTGGGTCTTCTGTCCTTCGCAATCAGCTGGACTGCAAAGTTTTCCTTCATCCTGAAAGCTGTGAGTAGCATTTGTGAGCACTTTTGCAATCTAAATAATTATTTTGAGCTCTTCATTCAAACACATTATCATGCCTGTCCTTTTGTTTTGCTTTAGTTAACCCAAAAAAGTCAATTTGATGAATATGTTCTCCAAGCATCCGAGATGTTTGATTCTTCATCAGAACAAATTTGGATTTAGCATTATATCAAATGCAGTATCAATTGGATATCAATGGCATTATATCACAAAATGGATCCTCTGCAGTGAATGGGTGCCGTCAGAATGAGAGTCCAAACAGCTGATAAAAACATCCTAATAATCCACACAACTCCAGTCCACCAATTAACGGCTTGTGAGGAGAAAACCTGTGTGTCCTAAGACGTTTTTAACTTTAGTCATGCAGCTTGGGTGAGGAACTGCAGTGGTGTGGATTACTTGTGGATTGTAGTGATGTTTTTATCAGCTGTTTGGACTCTCATTCTGACGGCACCCATTCACTGCAGAGGATCTTTTGTTGAGCAATGTGTTATGATGATAAAATAAACTCATCTACATCTGGATTGCCTAAGGGTTAGTGCGTTTTCATTTTTGGGCAAATTATTCCTTTAATAAAATAGTTGTGCACAAATTTCATAATGAATTCAATGTCAACAGAACATTAGATGAAAGAACAGTCACAAACTACTGTATACTGTATATGCACTTTGTATAAACTGTCCAATTGTGTCTTTTCTGTCTTTTGCAGAATAGAGGAGAGCAGAATTCTGCAGTGCAGGTGTCTACAGAACTACGAGTTCTGTCTTCTGTAGCTGGGTCTCTGTATGCCTCTGCCATTCTTCTCTATGACACACAGCTAAGATCTGTAATCAAAGCAATGCCATGGATACTCTCTGCTAGGAGCTGTGCAATTCTGGATCTTTCTGTATCCTTTGACACAGACTGTAAGTGACTCAGGGTCCGGAAAGTGACTGCTTACATGAATACATTAATGTACCAGTGTTCTCAGTCTACTCTTTAACTTTGATTTTTCAGATTGTGGTCCTCATCTGTTACAGATCCAACCATAAACGCCCTTCTGTCCGGTCTCTAGACTCGAATACTGAATCTTTACTAGGTGACTTTTCTGTCACGGGTCAGCTGTGCAACAACAATGTTGAATGCTGCAGGATGAAGCACCTCTCAGCAAGAGGCATTTCTCCCAGAGGGAGAACATGGGACTTTACATGGATGTCAACATACAGCCAATCAGGAAGGTTTGCTCTTGTTATGGTGTGTTGTTGAACAGTCCATAAGGTATGGTAATTGATTAATGATCATAGTCATGGTTTTATTTGACTGGTGTCTCTTCTAGGTTTGTCTCAAGGAGGTCGCCATCTCACGGGACGGCTCATCAGAGAGTCTTCCGCTAAAGAGGACCGTCAGGGTGGTGCGGGTTGATGAGCAGTGTTCCTCTGGTACCTCGACCGATTCGTCCTCTATTGGCTCTGAACTAGAGGTTAGAACGCTATTCCTTTTCTTTTCAGAGTTGCACATTATATGGCCCATAAATGAGATGCTTTGACACGACTCGAAATTAAATGACCCAACCTGTACTGCCTGAGAATCTGAGACCTACACGTGTGATTTCACACAGCT